ATGATGATGATGATGATGATGATGATGATGAGCAGGGAGTCGAAGACGAGGGAGGCGAACAAGATGACGGTGCGCCCACCATCCGGCTGTTGGAATCATCACAGAAATATCTGAAACGTTTCAACACTAATTTTCGTCAAGAGACCTTCAAAGTAGATAATTTGCAGAAAAAACTGTTAAAAAATAAATTAAGCATGTCTTCCCTGATTGATAGTTTACTTCAGAGACAAATAAGTCAAGTAAAAGCAAAGCCAGATGATAAATGCATTGTAGAATTGTGTGGGTCTGATGATAACAGATCTTTATGGTTCCATTTGCGCCCTGTAAGTCAGATTAATGGTGAGGTGATTTTGCAAAAGTTAACATCAACGCTGAACAGCAATGAAAATTTTTTGGGGGGATTCTTTAGACTGAACTTTGTCCACATACCTACCCAGAAGGGTGGTAATAGGGTGAGGAGACCCTTTGAGACCCATGAAAGATGGATGGAAAGACATATGAAATCACAACATTTATTCGATCCAAAAAATGATAAAGACAACATGTGTTTGGCACGCTGTATTTCATACTTGAAATTATTTCCAACTTCTAGTAAGCATCAGGTCTACAGACTGAGAGCAGCTGGTAATAAAAAAATAACGGATGCAGCAACTGAACTATGTCAACAAGCAGGAGTAGATAAAAACAAACCTTGTGGTTATGAAGAAATATGCAAGTTTCAATCTGTTTTACCAAATCATCGTCTTGTTGTATTCACGGATCGGAAATGTAAAGAAATTCTTTTTTGTGGTGATAGAAAAGATTCCAATGATGTCGATAAGCCGTTTCATATCTATATCTATTTTCATAATGGTCATTATTATGGTGTCACCTCTATGACTGCTGTTTTAGAGATAAGTTATTTTTGTGATGTATGTCTTGTTGGCTTTAGTGACAGAAACTCGCATAAATGTAAAAATTCATGTGATAGATGTTGTGGTCCAGTCTATCATGAAAAGGCATTGGGTCTTATTAATTGTCACTATTGTGGCCGTTGGTTTGCGGGAAAATCCTGTCTAGATACCCACCGTATTTTTGGTGCTAATGGTAAGAGTGTTTGTCAAGTGAAGAAATTTTGTGGTATATGTGAACGTTCATATCACTTGACACAAAAAATGAAAAAACATATTTGTGGGCATAAAATTTGTGACTATTGTGGGGAAAATATGCCTTATGATCATAAGTGTTATATGACCAGCTGGGAACCAAAACCCTTGCCCAAGGGAGTCCAACAGATTCGGATGTACTTTGATATTGAAACAGATCAATCGTTTGATGTTGAAGGAAAGGAAGGCTGGAAAGAGCATAAGGCTCGACTCCTGGTCTCCCAACATGTCTGTGATGAATGTGAAATGGACACAGACATGAAGAATAATTGTAATTCTTGTGGAGTTCGCCAAAATATTTTTGAAGGGTTTGATAAAAACACCAATGTTGTGTCAGACTTTTTAGATTTTTTGCAGAAACTCTGTAGTGAGAGACACAGAGAGATCACTATTTTCTGTCACAACTTTCGTTCATTTGATGGCATTCTAATTTTCCAGGAGTTAAAGGAACGTGCACATCCCCCCAAAGTCATTTTAAATGGTGCAAAGATTCTACAATTAAAAATAAATGATAATATAACATTTAAGGATTCCTTATCTTTCCTTCAACAGAGATTGAAATCGTTACCAAAGAGTTTCGGTCTGAATGAGTTATGTAAAGGAGATTTCCCCTTTTCTATGATTCAAGAACAATATTTTGATTATGAGGGACCCATGCCTAGTAGAGAAATGTACAGCACTTCACATCTTAGTGATAAGGAACGGGCAGAGTTTGATAATTGGTATGATGAGCAAGTAAATAGTGACTATGTATTTAATTTTAAGGCTGAGCTAATCAAATATTGTTGTTCAGATGTGACTATACTTTTACAATCTATGGAGAAGTTTCGTACTCTTTTTATGGAAACTGCTCACTTTGACCCTCTGAAAAATTGTATAACACTCTCTTCTGCATGCATGTGTAATTTTAGGAAAAATCACTTGGGTAATGCTTCAATAGGCATTGTTCCTCGCGGAGGCTATAGAGGGAGAGACAAGGCCAGCTATGAAGCATTGTGTTGGTTAGATTATGAATCACATAGGTTAGGTAAGAAAATTTTGACAGCAGAGAATGGTCGTGAAAAAATTGTATTGAAGTATAAAGTAGATGGATATGTAGAAATAGATTTACCAAATGGCACAGTAGAGAAGAGGGTTTATCAATATCATGGTTGTTATTTCCACTTGTGTAAAAAGTGCATTCCTGATGAGGAGTCGCGCAACAAAATCAGAGGTCGAAGTCAAGAAGATCCCTATGAGAGAACAAAGCATATAAGTAAAAAATTAAGAGATCATGGTTATGTTGTCATTGAGAAATGGGGGTGTGAGTTCAAACATGACATGGAAAATAATGAAGAAGTAAAAAATTATTTTGAAAATACCCCTTTTAAAAGAATGAAACCTTTAAACCTACGTGATGCCATTTGTGGTGGTCGAACTTCAGCTCTCTTCACTGAATATGTGGCCAACTTGGAAATGGGAGAGAAGATAAAATTACTGGATGTCATATCTGAATATCCCTGGGTACAATATAGAAAGTATTTTCCAGAGGGTCATCCTACTATTTATCTTGAAGGTGATGTGGATATGCCTGAAATAGATAAAATGAATGGTGTTATATTGGCTACTGTGCTGCCTCCTAAAGATTTATTTTTACCTGTCTTACCATACAAATGCTGTAGCAAACTCATGTTTCCACTATGTAGGACTTGTGCTGAGACTATGAATCAATCTGTATGTAATCATTCGGATGAGGAGAGAGAATTGGTTGGGACATGGTGTGCCCCCGAGCTGCAGTTGGCTGTAAAAGAAAATTATGTCATTAGGAAAATACACGAATGTTATCAGTATGCCTCTGTGAGTGAGTATGATCCAAAAACAGGTCGAGACGGGATGTTCTCTTCATATGTGAGACAAAATATGGCGATGAAAATTGAAGCAAGTGGCTGGCCACACAATGTAAAAACAGAGGAAGAGAAAGATGCATTTATAAGAAAACATTTTGAAAATGATGGCATTGTTTTGGACAAGTCAAAATTCCAACGTAACCCAGGCAAAAGGTTTCTTGCAAAACTGATTCTCAATTCTTTCTGTGAGTATAAGATCTAAATTTATTAATTCTACATTAAATTTTGAACTGGTTCTAAACTTTGTTTTTGCTTTATCATGTTACAGGGGGAAAACTGGGAGAGAGAACTCTTCGATCCAAGACAGAGTTTGTCAGGAACTATACTGAACTTGCAAGACTTACCGAAGATTCGACAATTAGGATTTCTTCAATAATACCCTTGGACGACAAATTGCTTCAAGTTGTCTACACTCCTCATGAGGATATGGAAGACTCTCTACCCACAACCAGTCTTGTGAATGCAGCGTTCACCACTTGCCATGGACGCATTAAACTTTATGAATATCTGAAGATAGTTGGCCAGCGGGCGTTGTACCATGACACAGGTATGATCTGAAATAAAATAAAGAAAGATTACTTATATTGAATCTCTTGTTTAAAACTGATACTTGTTAGCAAGTGTATGCATTGACACTAACCTTATTCTTTTACTGTTGTTTTTCCAGACTCTATCTGCTTCATTTCCAAGCCAAACCACCCCGAGCCAGCTTTGGGCGAGTTCCTCGGATGTCTCACTGACCAGTTGCAAGAGGATTTCGGAGAAAATTCATTTGCCAAATCTTTTATAAGCGGTGGACCCAAGAATTACTCTTATCAAGTTTGTGTGAAAGGTGATGAGAATACGTTGGCCACAGTTACAAAAGTACGGGGCGTAAGCATAAACTCGTCATGCTCAGATGTTGTCACCTATGACAAATTAAAAGAAATGGTTAGAGGAGAAACTGAAAGTACTGTTGTCCACATCCCTTCTATGATTGATAGAAGGAATTGGAAAATTATTACTAGGCCTGCACAGAAAACGTGGAGAGTTGTTCTCAACAAACGCAGGCGTGTAGATAATAAGACTGTACCGTATGGTTTCACGGGGGTCCTATTTGATGATGATGATTACGAGACTTTGGAAATCCTTGACGGGCTCTGGAACGAGTAACCTCGTGTATTATTTGTACATAGAAATAAGTTTCTTCACCCTATCTGCTCCTACACTTGGTTGTGTTTACTTTGACTCCACTGCCTTGTACCATATTTCAAAATAAATTTTCATCAATAATAATGAGAAGCTTTCGTCTCCCCATTTTCTCATACTCGCCTCTGCAGAGTGCTGCCACCTGGTGGTGATCTCGCGAAGTAGTTCGCTCCTCGCTAGCAGACGAATCGCCATATTGGAGCAGACGGCAAACACACACATAACCTGCAACCAAATAAAATATAAACACTTGTTGCCAGAGCGTCATTCGCGCACAACCAGTCAAACGAGATGGATATACGTTTCGTTCACCCTGCGAACTCGCTCTTGGTCGGGGGATCGGGTGCGGGGAAAACGACGCTCATGATAAAAATTGTCAAAAACAGAGATGAAATGTTTGACACGAAATTTGTCGAAGTCGTTTGGCATTACATGGAATGGCAAAACTGCTATCAGGAACTCGCAGATAGTGATTCTAAAGTACGTTTTGTAGAGGGAATCCCTACTTTGGATCAATTTCCGCCCAACGAAGGAGCGAAACTACTCATTTGTGACGACTTTATGGATAGTTTGAAGAGTCCCGAGTTTTTGCAATTTGCCATCAAAGGATCACATCATCGCAATTTAAGTTTTTGGTTGTTGTCGCAATGCATTTTTCCGAAAAACATGAGAGAAATAAGTTTGCAGGCGCATTACTGTATTTTGATGAAAACATGCCGCGACCTCCTACAGGTGCGTGCGTTTGTGTCCCAAGTCGACCCCGTTAATTTTCGAGCCCTGCTGGAGGCCTATCGGGACAGTACACAGGACGGGCACTCGTACTTACTTTTTGATTTCCACGTTCGCCAAAAAGATCACTTGAGGTTGAGGACAAACATCTTGCCGGGCGAGACGACTGTCGTCTACGTGCCCAAGAACAAGTATAAAAGTGAATTAGTTCACCGATAAGCATTCAGATCGCCGCGCGCCGCCGTCCAGCTCGGATCGGGGAAGTCTCTCCGAGATGCCGCCCGCGCCCAGCCGCCGCCGTTCAAACAGCTGCCACAAGGATATCCTGCGTCTGCTGAGCACCGCCAATCCGAAAACGCGACGTCTTCTTCTCGAGCACGCCGACAAGTCCCTGATCTACGCCATCTGTGAAATCGCGCTCAACTTTCTGGCTGGGCGTGTTCCCGTCTCGACCTCAGACAAACAAAAACTGTCAAAATATAAAAACACTCTACGTAAATTGGCGACGCGAGGACAGCACTGGCACGACAAGAAGAAGATTGTACAGACGGGGGGTGGCGCCTTTCTCCCTATTCTGTTGAGTGTGTTGGGGCCTATGATCGGTGATCTCATTTTCGGCAAGAAGTGAAACAATGACGCTTCAACACTGTAAAAAACTCGTGCTGTTGCCTGCCGAGAGCGCCGCTCGACTACAAGAAAAGCCCGTCGGGCGCACATCTGGTGACGTTATTTCCGATCTCGATTCGACTATCGGAGACATTTTAGCCCGGAAAGATGCACAAGCCGAGGAGAAATGGCGATTGTACGATCAGGCCTTACAAAGATACATGCATTTTGTAAGAGACCAGAAAAAACCAATCGGACTCGTCAGCATCGGTGGAGAAGATGGTGAAAATCAGCAGCAGGCCGACCTCTCTGGCGACTCGACAGAACTGCGTAGACAGGTGGCCTCTATAGTGCCTGCAAAGCAGCGAAGCGCCGCCAGTGCACTGTTTGACTTCCTCGAGTCTGCACGCGCGCGCACGCTCATCGGCTGGGACTCGCAAGGCACGCTCCGGATAGACGGAGCCAAGCTCGATCAGAGCAGCATTGTAGACTTGGTCTCTGACGCCGCACGTACTCGTAAGAATGCGTACGCCGTGGGGTGGGTGCAGTTTGTCAACGCTCTGAAGAAACTCACCGCACCTAGTGCGCTTTTGATCAACACTGCGTATCGTGATCAGCTTCTGGGCAAACAGAGCGGATCCGGCATAGACCTTCGACATGAAACCGCCGCAAAGGGTCCGCAGGGCCCGCGAGGCTTATTCTCCGCCGCCGCCGTCGTCGCGTCGTCGCTCCGCCGCGACGCCCACCCGTCCGCCCGTCCGCCCGCCCACCCGTCCGCCCGCCCGGAAAACGGAAACAAAAAGAAAAACCGCCCGGAAAAAATACCGCGAAACGCAAATGCACGGAACGCATCAGTTGGACCCCATGGAGACCTTGACAAGATATTTACGGATCGGACGCACCCTGCCGGCTATAGCACGCCACAGAGGCTGCGCGAAGCCACGAAAGCACCCCAACGACAAGTTGACGACTACCTGAGTGGACAGAAGGCCTACACTTTACATAAATATGTGCGAAAAAACTTCCCTCGTAACGTCACCTATGCAGACACGATCGACGCCGTGTGGCAGTGTGACCTCATGCAATGTACGAACATCGCCAAGTACAATCGCAACATGAAATTTGTTCTCGTCGTTATCGACGTTTTTTCACGTTTTTTGTGGACAGAAGTTTTGCCCGATAAAACAGCTTCGAGTGTTGTGGATGGTTTCAAGAAAATATTTGACAGAACAGATAGACGGTGCTCTGTAATTATTTCTGATAAGGGCAAAGAAATATGCAATAAATCAGTTGAAAATTTTTTGAAAGAACATGACGTTATTCATTTTCATACCAACAATCCCCAAACAAAAAGTGCGATCGCCGAGAGGGCCATAAGAAGTTTGAGGTTATGGATGCAAAGATGTTTCACACACACTGGCGACTACAACTACGTGGACGGCCTGCTCAGCGACATTACGCACGCATACAATAACAAATATCACAGAACCATTAAAATGACACCCACTGAGGCGAGTAATCCAAAGAGAATACTGGAAGTCTACAACATTTTGTATGGGGATGTACTCAAGAGAAAACCTGTCCCCCCAAAACTAAAAGTGGGCGATTTCGTTCGCATCTCGCGCGAAAAACAACAGTTTGAGAAAGAAGGTGCTTACAACTGGAGCGAGGAAATCTTTGAAATTGTCAAAGTCATTCCCCATCAGCAGCCCGTCTATCTGATTGCCGACATTGACCACCACGAACCGATCGAAGGGCATTTTTACGGATGGGAACTCAACAAGGTCACGAAGCCCACGGTGTTTGAAATCGACCACATCGTGCAAACTAAGGGGAAGGGCCCGAAGAAACAACTTTTGGTGCACTGGCGCGGCTTCCCCAAAGCCTCGCGCTCATGGATTTTTGAGAAAGAGCTTATACGTGTATAAGAGAGTCTGCTTCGCCCTGACTCACCCAGTCTAACGCGACGCCCCCGAGCGGACGGATCGTGGCATCATGTCCGATTTTCACATGGTCATACCGAGCAACGCCTCGCCTGACCTGTATCCGGAGAACAAGACGTCAAATTACAAAGTGTATCTTCCACAACGATTTGACCTCCATGGCGAGTGGCAGGTGGCCCTGCTCGAGGTACACTACCCCAACACGCTCATGAACGTGCAAAGAGGAGAAAACTGGGTGAAAGTGTATGAAGTGGAGGAAGGCACTTACATACCCCCAGCTCCCATGGGCGACGTGGGCCCCGACTACGAACTGAGCGAGCGCTGCCCGGATCTTCTCAACAAAACGACAACCGTGCTGCGCTACAAGTTGTCGATGCGACCGGGACTGTACACTTCAACTTCAAACATGACCGAGCATCTCGCCGATGTTCTCAAACCCCTCGAGAGGGTGTACGTGATCGAACCTGGACAGCCAATACCGGCATCCGAACCAGTCTCAGTCGGTTTAGACCGCAATGGAAAATTTTACCTGACTGTAATGAACGACCGCCCGAATCACGTGATTTACTTTGCCCCGCGCCTGGCACACCAGCTGGGACTCCCCTTCTCGGGTCCGTACGACACGAAGGACACGATCAAAGGCATACGCGATATCGACTTGTCTTTGGGGCACCCCGAGCAAATGTATATCTATATGAACATTATCGAGCCGCAAATCGTCGGCCACACTAGCGCACCGCTGCTGAGGACCATCCCAATGAGTTCGGACGCAAAGTTCGGCACCATGGCGAGCTATCGCTGTGACCACCCCATTTACCACAACCTCTCTACCAAGTCGTTCAACGAGCTGGAAATAAATATAAGGACAGACACTGGTGATTTTGTACCATTCCTTTTTGGTACGTTGAACCTGGTGGTTCACTTTCGACAGCGCTAGCCCCGCGCCGCCGCCATGGCGTCTCACTATAGCCAGTACTTTATCCACCAGGCCCAGACTGGGTCTGGCATGGGGTACTACAGCGGCATGCACAGCCAGCGAGGGCACGGCCTAGGGTCGTTTCTAGGAGGCCTGTTCAGATCGGTTCTACCGCTCCTGAAGTCCGGCGCGCGAGTCCTGGGCAACGAAGCCCTCAAAGCAGGAAGCGGCTTCCTCGGCGACATGGCCGCACACGCACAGCCGATGGAAAGCTTCAAGCAACGCACCGCCGAGCTCGGTCAAAATTTCGTGAACAGGATGGCTCAAGGCGGGAATGGTATAAAACGACTACCCGGGAGAAAAAGAGTGCAGTCGGGACGTGTCACTCGACGGAAGAGCACCCCTAGGAGCGGGGCGCCAAAGAAGAAAGCTGCTTTTCTGCGCGACATTTTCGGGTAACCATGTCGGTCCTACACCCCAACGTGGGCGAGGCGATGCTGAGCGAGACGGACCTGTGGGGCATGCCGCTCGCTGTCCAATCCGTCATCAAGTCCACCGTTGTCTCCAACAAACCGACAACGACTTTCGCGCAGTCGAACAATCTGACGTTCCATGTCCCCGGAACGAGCGATTGTACGGATACAAACTTCATGCTACACCTCTCGGGAGAAGTGGTCAAAGCGGACGGAACAAAAATCAAGGAGGGAGAGAGCGATGTCGCTCTCGTGAACAACTCGTTGCATTCTCTTCTTATGCAAATCGACGTCCTGGCGGGTGACACGGTCGTCAGCCAGTCCTCCCTGACTTACCCATATAAGGCCTACATGGAAGATGTGCTCGCATATGACACCAATGCCAAGTTGTCTCACATGACCATGCGCGGGTGGGCCAAGGACACGGCCGGCCACATGGACGACTACGACGGCGACAACAACCAAGGACTCGTCAAGAGAAGGAAGATAGTCAAAAACAGCCGTGTCTTTGAATTTTTTGGTCCTCTACACTGCGATTTCCTCTCTAACCAGGGCAAACTTCTCCTGCCCCACCTTGACGTGACCATCAAACTCACCAGAACCGCGGACTCGTTTGCTCTCATGTCCACAACTCAAAACGAGAAAATTGTCATTCGCGATGCGACCCTTTTCGTCCGCAAGGTGACCTTGTCTCCCAGCATGAACATTGCGCACGCTGAAGCCCTAGAGCACGCCCCGGCACGCTACCCCTTCACTCGAACGTCCGTCAAGTCCATTACCATTCCGAGTGGTTTCCGGGACAAAACCATCCCCAACGTCCATCTCGGACAAGTTCCGAAACGTATCGTTGTCGGCTTTGTCTCAAACGTCGCCTACAACGGCAGTTATCATCATAACCCGTTCAACTTCCAACACTTCAACATCAACTACCTGTGCCTCTACGTCGACTCAGATCAGATCCCCGCCGTGCCCCTGACTCCCGACTTCACCAACGGAAACTACGCACGCTCGTTCTACTCTCTGTTTGAGGGAACAGGGATCAAGTGGAAGGACGAGGGAAATGATATAAGTTACGACGAGTACGGCAACGGCTACACACTCTTTGCGTTCGATCTGACACCCGATCAGTCCGCCCACGAACAGCACTGGAACGTGCAGCGACAAGGCGTCGTGAGGCTCGACGTGCGATTTAAAGTCGAGCTCCCTGTCGCAGTCAACTGCATCGTGTACTCAGAGTTTGATAATCTCATCGAAATCGACAAAAATAGGAAAGTTATTGTTGATTATAGTGTGTGAAAAATGGATGGTAACACACTTGAAAGATTCATGCGTCAGGACCCGCATGCCTCGCCATACTTTCTCGGCGTGTTTGCAGCTGACACGCTACCCCATAGGATCACGACGAGACCTGCGTATCTCATTGTAAACTCGGACCCCGTTTCCAAACCAGGCACACACTGGTTGGCTATAAGTATTGATGCGTGTGGGAAAGGTTTCTACTTTGACAGCTATGGTCAAAGACCCTATGTATCTCAGCACGAAAAGTTTCTGTCGCGCGTTTGTAAATCATGGACTTATAATCATGTCGACCTGCAGGCGTTCGACTCGTCCGTGTGCGGACAATATTGTTGCATGTATCTCCTCTTTAAGGCGCACGGTTACTCATTGTCTAATTTTGTAAAGTGCTTTTCAAACGACTGTGCACAAAATGACGCACTCGTCGAAAAAATGTTTCAACGATACTCGAGAAATGTAAAACTGTGCAACGATGTCAATGTGAAAACAAATGTACAAAAATGTTGTAAGCGATGCAAGAAGTAATAAAGGAAAATGTAAAACTGCTTTTTGTTTGTTGTTTTTTAAATATTTTTTCCGTTTTATTTTTATACCCTTCAAGACATATACACCTGCAGTACACCACGAATGTACTCTCGACACACCACACATTTCTTAACAACTTTTCCACAGTTAGAACAAGAGACAAAATGTTTGCACGGCAAAAACACAATACTCATTTCCTTATCCAGACATATCTTGCACTGCAGGGGGTCATCCCCTCTGGCCTCTTCACTGTTGGTCTCGGCGCCAGCTGACTCATTACACGCCAAAGCTTGGATCTCCTGCAATACAACACACGATAACATTTAACAACTTTTTTTAAATAAAGAAAAATAAGGAAAAAGACAAATAAGAACTAACCTTTGGTGTCAGTGTGGCCGGTCTCTCGCCCTGCACGAGAGTGGCAAACTCGGAGCCCTTTATCTCATGCACATGATTACATTTTGGGAAATAAAATGCATGTTCACTCCAGGGATCATCCCCCTTCGTCCAGGCTTGCAGTCCACCCCCGCATGAAAAGCATATCGTTTTATCTTCAATATTTGTGTAGAAAAATCCCGCAGAGGCCAACTGCGAGGCTCCCACTGTGTCCTCATGCTCCCAGCGAGCAAACGACTCCTGTCTGACTTTCAGGTCTACATAAGCGGGGTGGGCAGGCTTGTCCAAAGCACTACGCTTGATCACAGGAGTGTTCTCGTTGTGCCTCTTCGCACCGCGATCCACGGGGGACGATACGGTCTCAATCCGACTCCTCGCTACAGTCTCCACGATCCACCGGGAAAATACTGTGTCTGCAGACAGCGTCTGACCAACGGGGTTCTCCACAGTTAGCCATCGCTGCACGGTGTCAATTCCTGGGTCCTCATCCTCCTCCTCCTCCTCCTCCTCCTCCTCCTCCTCCTCCT